GTAGAAGATCACCTCGACCTACGTGACCACCTTGTTGTTGGTCAGATCGAGTACCTCCCAACCCTTGCTTTCCGGCGACACACCCAACTGAAGCCCCCAGCGAGCTTTCGGCGCCAGCTTCCCAGACAGCTTGTCGTAGAGCGAGGTGCCACCAGTGGTGCTGCACGCCCATGTTCAGCAGCATTTTCCTCACGAACTCGACGGCTGTGCGCATCTCCCGCTGAGCCATGCCGTTCTGCTGTGGAGTGTAAGGGCACGTCAGGGCGTGGACGATGCCCTTGCCGTCAACGAAGTCGGTGAACTCCTTCCCGAGGAACTCCCCTCCCCTGTCTGAGCGGAGGATCAGCAGTGACGTCTTCGCCTGCCGTTCCACCAGCACCAGCCACTTCTAGAATTCCCGCAGCACGTCGCTCTTCTTAGCGACCGGCATCACCCACACAAATCGAGTGTGGCGATCCTTCAGCAGCCGGAAGTACAAGCTGCCATCCTTGGCAGCAACCCGAAATGGCCCGCACAAATCAATGTGCACGACAGCCAGCGCCTCCTCGGCGTCCGAGCCTTTGTCGGGGAAGGTGTGCCGCGCCAGCTTTCCTCCAACGCACGAGACACACGGCAGGTCTGCTCCGGTCGACGGCTTGATGTTGAGCCCAGTAGCAACTTCATGCTTCGCCGAGCTCTTGATCGTGTCGACACCGACGTGCGCGAGCCTCGCATGCAACCGGTCAGGGGTCGACTTCGTCGCCGAGACGATCGTCTGTAGAGCCACCACCTCGGTCGACGACGATCGCGTCGAGCAGGGGCGAAGGTCGGTGCAGAGAACTCGTCCGTTGTAGCGTGCTCGACCGAGCACCTCCCCAGTCGCAGCGACAAGCAGCATCTCGTCGCCGTCGCCCTGCAGCTGCACTCTGCTCTCCTTCAGCTGGTCAGCAGATAGCAGGTTCGCCTGTACGCCCGGAACGTAGAGCACGTCGGGGATGAGGACCCGCTTCCCGGCCTCCCCTTGCAAGGCGACGGTTCCGCGACCCTCGACAGGCTGCAGCCCCCCGTTGAATCCACGCACGTGCTTCACATCGTCGCTCGGCACCATGTCGACGAAGACCGCCTTCGTCCCCATCAGGTGGTGGGAGCAACCGCTGTCGAGCAGCACCGCTATCGGGTTTGCCTGCACAGCTGCCGCCACCGCCTGGAAGTCCTCGCCAGCCTCCGGCGCCAGCGAAACCGTCGGCTCCACTGTGCCGACCATCGAGCACGACGCCTCCCCATCGCCTCGGCTCTTGTCGCTGGAGTTGTCGACGTCCTTCGTCGACGACGTCTGCTTCTCCTTGCGCGGCTTCACATCTCGACGTGGGCGACGGCTGGTCGATCGACCGCGGCCTCCCTTGGTGTCGTCCTCGTTGCTGTCATCGCGGTCGGGACACTCATAGGAAAGGTGGTCGGGTTCGTGGCAGATCCAGCACTCCCGCCGTCGACCACCACCTCCTCGCCCCTTATCTTGTGTCGACCTCTTCTCGTCGACGTCCTTCGTCGACTGCCCACCTCCGCTACCACCTCTGCCCGGCTTCCTGTGCTGCCCTTGCTGCTGATTCAGCTTCGTCGGTGCAGCGTAGTTTGCCTAAGGAAGGAGCTCCGTGGGCTGTTCAGCCTCCTGCGTCGCCTCGTCTTGAAGAATGTAGCTGGTGATGGAGTCCTTGTCGAGGGACTCACGCGTGCTGGGTACCATCATCATCCTCTTCATGAGGTTGTAGCCGCGCGACAGGCCCTTGACGATGTGGGAGATGTAGGACGCCGTCGAGTATTCGGCGCCCGCCATCCGCATCTCAGCCAGGATCCGTCGAGCACGGTTGCAGTACTCCGTCGCCGACTCCTGCTCGCCCATCCGAATGTGAGTCATCTTCTCTTCCAGCTGTGCGATGTACAGGTCGTCCCTGACCTGGTACGTCGACAGGATGAAGTGCCATGCCTGGTGACCAGCATCCAGTCGCTCTCGACAGCTCCTGAGCACCAGCTGCACCACCGGCAAGCAGCACCTCGAGATGACCATGAAGGTGAGCAAGTGAGCCGCACGAAACTCCCCGCGCAGCTCAACATCGTCCACGAGCGGAATTGGCACTGTGCCGTCGGCGAAGCCCTTCAGTCCGGCGACCTCCAGCTGAGGTTCTATCGACTCCCTCCAGGTGATGAGGTCCCGTCGACCTTGCAGCGGTGCGACGGTGATCCGGTCCGGCGAGAGCTTGAAGTAGCCATACATTCGTGCAATCCCGCCCGCCGTCACATGCGTCGTCGGCGAGAGCCCTCCACCGCTTCGTAGAGGAGAGCGACGTCGACCATCGACGTTGGCACGCGAGCTGCCTGCAGCCGCCGTCGACCGCTACACTTGCGCCTCACTCTTGCCGACGCCAACCCGCCTCCGATGTACGTCGCTCTCTACTTCCTCACAACCCACCTCCCTGGCTCCTTTCACGTTGCTCGAGACTACTTCCTCTCCCTGACTCCTTTCACGTTCGAGACCTGTCTCTTAGAGGTTAAGACCGCTGCTCTTGCTATTGCTGCCTCCATCGGCACTCCCCACTCCTCCTTTTTTTAGGGGTGCTCCCCCTCTCTGCTCACGCCCTCTGTTGTCTCTGCTGCAGCTATTGACTTTCTTCGTGCTGAGGAGGTCGGTGCTGCGTCTGCTCCTAGTGGGAGGCGCCGCAGCGGCAAGGCCAAGGGTGGCAAGGGTGGGGGTGGTGAGGGTGGCGAGGGTGGCGGTGGCGGTGGCGGGGGTGGTGGAGGTGGGGGTGGTGGGGGTGGAGGATGTGGCGGCGGCGGTGGAGGTGGCGGGGGTGGTGGAGGCAGTAGAGGTGGTGGAGGGGGTGGGGGTGGCACTAGAAGTGAAGCTGGCGGGGGTGGAGGCTCTGGTTTGGGTACCCGTACGGCGGTGTCTGATGGTGCAGCGCATGGTGATGGCAGCTCTGGGGGTGGTCAGCAGCAGCAGCCGAGTCAGCAAGTGACTCTCTCGCCACAGCAGCTGCGTTAGTGGACGGTCCAACGTGCCAGCTTGGGTGGTGCGGTCCGCTGCCAGCACCGCCGCCGCACAGGTCAGCCTGGAGAGGTTTGCGATCGCATGGGCCATACGGAGCCTTGCTGCTTTTTTTGCCTCGACGACCCGTATCGCGAAGAGTTCAGTGAGCAGCTGAAGACTCCTGATTGGTTAGCCTTGCTCAGGAAGAACATCGATGGGTTTGCTCTTGATCCATGCTGGCATGTATGCGATGTATGCTGCTATTGCTTGTGTTGAGGGTGACTATTACTCATGTGTGCCCGCTGCTGATGGTGTAGAGACTGCTAGTCCAGGTGCTTGTGAGCCTACCAGCACAGCTGCAGCTCTAGCCGAGGCTCGGCACACTTTCACACTTGAGTCAGGCGCGTCTCGCTGCTTCTTCCGCGACTGCACCAAAGTCACGCCGCTCACTAGACCTGTCCCGGTCAATCTGGCTTACCCCTTTGGGGCCCTAGTAGTAGCACGTGCCTCCACCATACTCCCGTGTCCGGCAGCCCCTTCCGACTCACTTTCAGGTCTCCACCTCCCCTCGTTCGCTTCGATCTTGGTGAGTAACGTTGTCCTCCAGGGGGTGAGCTTGCGGCGATCTGTACGTGCTCATGGACTGGCCGCCACCTTTGCCACATTCACTTGGAGACCTGGGTCTGGCCTGTACACACTGACCACTGAGTCCGCATAGGTAGTTGTGTCCAGTCAGGTAGCTGCGCCAGGTCGGCTAGCTTCGTCTTGCTCGTGTCATTTACTCACGCACCCGTCTCTCCTCTGGCACCACCATCTGGGTCACCCCTGCCTGCCGTGTCTGCGCAGCATGCACCCTCGTCTCCTTGTTTTTGGCCTCCCCAGGTCCCTGCCCTCGCTCCCTCGATCTCTTGCACTGCCAAGCCTTCCTTTCGTCGAGGGGCGGCAGCGCGCCGTTCCTCACTTCTCCTCGTTTCCTCCGAGAACTGCTCCTCTGCAAACTCTCCACAAGGTCGTGTGGGGCCCCACCCGCGTCAGTGGACAGGACTGCGAGTGCTACTTTTTGCTGTTTGTTGACGAATACACGCGCTACACCACCGTCTACCCCATGCGGAGCAAGGCGGATGTCCGCAGTGTCTTGATCCCTTGGATTCGCGGTGTCGTCGCCAGCTGAGCGCACGGTTCCAGCAGGACCTCCAGGTCCTGAGGCTGCACTCTGACCGAGTGGTGAGTTTTCCCCCGTGCCCCCACCGCCCCTCTTCCTTGTTCCCGATTCCCCCTCGTTAGCCCCCCTCCCTCCTCAAGGTCCTGCTCCCTCAGGTGTGTCCCAGGTTGGTGTTAGAATACTAGTAGCCATAGCTAGGGTGAAAGCTAGGCAAGTGTCGAGAGAAAAGTTGAGAAGGAAAATGATGATTTCACTAAGAGAAGAAAGTACAAGATATAGGAGTGAGAGATGGCAAAGGGTACACCGCCTACAAGGACTATAATAGTAACTACACTACAGCTATAACTATATGCAGTTATACATAAATATATATTATGACACACCCCCTAACTGCATGCAGGAATAGCCATGTGCAGAACACCCCCTGAAGGGGTACACCCTGCGCAGCGGAAGAAGGAGAGAGCAAGTGAGGAGGAGGAGGGACCATGAGAGGAGAGGAGGTGGGGGGAGGTGGCTGATGCTGCAGCTGGACTCACACCACCCCCTCAACCTCCCCCCCACAGCAGCAGCAGCGGCAGTGAGGAGAGAGAGGAGGAGGCTTGGCGACATTTGCTGCAGTTGTGTCACCCACCACCCACATCCCCTGAGCCTCCCCACCACTTCACACTCCCCCCCACAGCAGCAGGTGCGACTGTGAGAGAGAGGAGGCAGGCTGGCGCTGTAGGTGCAACCTCCCCCTCACACCCTCCCCTCCCCTCCCCACCCACCCACCCAAACTGCTGCACGTGCAGCAGGGAGAGGGAGGAGAAGGGGGGGGGGGGGGGGTAGGGGCTGTGCATGGGGCTGCAGATGCGCGTGCAGAGGGCAGCAGGGCGCACAGGGCGCACAGGGCAGCAGGGCGCGCGGGGCGCACAGGGCTGCAGGGCGCGCGAGGGCGCGCAGGACAGCAGGGCGCGCGGGGCGCGCAGGGCTGCAGGGCGCGCGGGGCACGCAGGGCAGCAGGACAGCAGGGCGCGCGGGGCGCGCAGGACAGCAGGGCGCGCGGGGCGCACAGGGCAGCAGGGCAGCAGGGCGCGCGGGGCGCACAGGGCTGCAGGGCACGCGAGGGCGCGCAGGACAGCAGGGCGCGCGGGGCGCACAGGGCAGCAGGGCAGCAGGGCGCGCGGGGCGCACAGGGCTGCAGGGCACGCGAGGGCGCGCATGACAGCAGGGCACACGTGGCGCGCAGGGCTGCAGGACAGTAGGGCGTGCGGGGCGCACAGGGCAGCAGGGCAGCAGGGTGGGGGGGCGCACAGGGTTGCAGGGCGCGCGCAGGACAGCAGGGCGCACGTGGCGCGCAAGGCTGCAGGACAGTAGGGCGCGCGGGGCACGCAGGGCTGCAGGGCGCGCGGGGCGCACAGGGCAGCAGGGCAGTAGGGCGCGCGGGGCGCACAGGGCAGCAGGGCAGTAGGGCGCGCGGGGCGCGCAGGGCTGCAGGGCGCGCGGGGCGCACAGGGCAGCAGGGCAGCAGGGCAGCAGGGCGCTGCAGATCCCCCCCCCCCCCCCCAACTGCTGCACCCGCAGCAGGGGGATGGAGGAGAAGGGGGGGGGGGGGGGGGGGCGGGGGGGGGGCTGGTACTGCAGATCCCCTCCCCCCTACTGCTGCAACAGCAGCAGGGGGATGGAGGAGAAGGGGGGGGCTGGTGCTGCAGATCCCCTCCCTCCCACTGCTGCTCCACAATCCGTCACCCCCCAGGGATGGAGGAGAAGGGGGGGGGCGGGGGGGCTGGTGCTGCAGATTCCCTTCCCCCACTGCTGCTCCACTATCCGTCACCCCCCAGGGATGGAGGAGAAGGGGGGGGGCGGGGGGGCTGGTGCTGCAGATTCCCTTCCCCACCACTGCTGCACCCGCAGCAGGGGGATGAGGAGAAGGGGGGGGCGGGGGGGCTGGTGGTGCAGGTCCCCTCCCCCCCACTGCTGCTCCACAATCCGTCACCCCCCAGGGATGGAGGAGAAAGGGGGGGCGGGGGGGGCTGGTGCTGCAGATCCCCTCCTGCCACCCCCTGAACCTCCAAGCTCCCCCCCCCCTCCCAACACAAGGTACGGCAGGGAGAGAGAGAGGAGGAGGCTTGGCGGCAGCTGCTGCTGCTGAGGCACATCCGGCACCCCCTCACACCCTCTCCCCCCCGTCCCCATGGAGGGGGGGGAGGGGGGCGGGGGCGGAGCTGCGCGTGCGACTGCAGGGCGCGCGGGCAGGAAGAAACCGTCGCAGTGGGGGGCGGGGGGGGGGGGGGGGGCTGGTGCTGCAGATCCCCTCCCCCCCACTGCTGAGGCGTGTGGAGAAACCGACGCGCTCCCGAGGCGTGCGACGGGCAGGAACCGACGCGCAGCCGGGGCGCGCATCGGGCAGAAACCGTCGCGCACCCCGGGTGCGCGACGGGCAGAAACTGACGCGCAGCCACGGCGCGCATCGGGCAGAAAGTCGACGGGGCCGACGGGCCTAGGGGCAACGGGCCTAGGGGCGACGGGGGGCCGCGGGGCCGAGGGGCCGAGGGCGACAGGGCCGAGGGGCCTAGGGCGACTGGGCCGCGGGGCCGAGGGCTAAGGGGGCTGAGGGGCCTAGGGCGACAGGGCCGCGGGGCCGAGGGCGAAGGGGCCTAGAGGCCTGAGGCTGTGGGGCCGTGGGGCCAAGGGGCCAAGGGGCCGAGGGGCCTGAGGGGCCTGAGGGGCCGAGGGGCCTGAGGCCTAGGTGCCGAGGGGCCGAGGGGCCGAGAGGCCTGAGGCCTAGGGGCCAAGGGGCCGAGGGGCCGAGATCGAAGGGGCCGAGGGGCCAAGGGGCCGAGGGGCCTGAGGCCTAGGGGCCGAGGGGCCAAGGGGCCGAGGGGCCCGAGGCCAAGGGGCCGAGGTTGAAGGGGCCGAGGGGCCGAGGGCGAGTCGGGCCGCGGGGCCTAGGCTAGAGGCGACGGGCGATGCCAAGGGGCGACGGGTCGCTAGAGGCCATGGGGCCGAGGCTAGGGGCGACGGGCGACAGGGGTCGCTACGGGCGACGGGCTAGGGGTGACGCCAAGGGGCTACGGGCCTAGGGGTGTCGAGCGCGAGCGACGGGCCACGGGGCCGGGGCCTAGGGGCGACGGGCAACAGGGGTCGCTACGGGCGACGGGCTAGGGGCGACGCCAAGGGGCGCCGGGCCTAGGGGTGTCGAGCGCGAGCGACGGGCCACGGGGCTGGGGCCTAGGGGCGACGGGCCAAGGGGCGACGGGCCTAGGGGCGACGGGCCTAGGGGCGACGGGCGACGGGCCGTGCCGAACGTCGAGAGGAGGGCCGCACGAGGGCGGCGCGCAGGGCAGTACGTGGTGGGCCCAAGGGTCGAAACTACTCTACTACCATGTTAGAATCCTAGTAGCCATAGCTAGGGTGAAAGCTAGGCAAGTGTCGAGAGAAAAGTTGAGAAGGAAAATGATGATTTCACTAAGAGAAGAAAGTACAAGATATAGGAGTGAGAGATGGCAAAGGGTGCACCATCTACAGGGACTATAACAGTAACTACACTACAGCTATAACTATATGCAGTTATACATAAATATATATAAAATATATTCTGACAGTTGGCCCACCCCCCTTGGTTGTGCCATTGGAGATCTCCTCTAGCCCAGCTGAGGGGGGAGACCCTCCTGCTCTCGACACAGCGGCACCGCACCGCTCACCGCGCTTGGAGACCCCTCCTGGTTTTCCACCTCGTCAGTTTTCACCGCCTCTGCAGCCCGTCGATGTGGACTCTGGTGCTGCTGAGGGTGGTGACACTGGAAGTGCTGAGTCTGGGGGTGCTGCGAGTTCTAGTGGTGGTGACGTCGTGGGTGCTTCTACTGGAGGTGCTGGTGCCGGAGGTGCTGGAGGTGCTGGTGCTGGAGGCACTAGTGCACTTAGGCAGGAAACTCTCTCGCCGCAGCAGCTTCGCAAGTGGGCTGTCCGTTGGGGTAGCTCTTGTGGCGTAGTTGGAGCTCTTTGTGCTGGAGGTGTTGGAGCTGGAGGTACTAGAGGTACTGGAGGTGAGGGTGCTGGAGGTGATGGTACTGTGGGTACTGCGTAGCGTCGACCGTTTTTCTTGACGTAGTCGTAGTCCTGACTGCCGCCACCCGGCTCGGCACTTCGCCAGGTTCTTAGTCTTCTGTCTTCCACTGCCTTACTCCACCTCTACTCTGTCCTCCGCCTGACCCGTCTCAGCCACAGTTACAGCATAGCTCCCCATTGCCTGCTCCTTCTTCTTACACTGAGCAAACAAACTCCCGGACTGAGCATCGTGAGCTTGAGTCTCATCCTGTCTCGCCTGTTTGCACTATCAGGCGTGCCCGATGTGTTCATCCTCCACCAGTCCCCGGCACACACACTATGGTCCTTCCCCTGTTTCACTGCGCGCTCTAGCCAGACCGCTCGCCCCACAGCCCCTCCTAACCGCCCCTCAGCCCCTCATCCCTCCTTACCGCCCATCGCTCCCTACCTAGTCCTGTGGTGAGCCCTGCTCCCCTCCCCCCCCCTCCCCGCTGTTCCCCTTGCCTACACTGTTCCTACTATTAATGGGTTTCACCATCAGCGGTTGGCAGCCAATTTTCTCTCTTGTAGGACGGTTTCGCTCCTCGCTCCTAGCTCCTGACACTCCTAGCGCAGTTTGCTCCGTGCTCCGGCCGTTCCTCGCCTTGTTTCACATGGCAGCCCGTAGTCTCTAGCCTGGCGTTTCTCACTCTGGCCATGCCTCACTCCAACCGTTCCTCGTTCCAGTCGCTTTAGCTCAGTTTGCTCCGTGCTCTGGCCGTTCCTCGCCTAGTTTCACCTGGCACTCCTAGCTGTTCTCACTCCTCGATCCTAGCTCCAGTCGCTCTTAGCCTGCCGCTCCTGCACCCCGCTAGCCTTTCCCATGGCGTCCATAGAGTTCTCCAGCAGCAAGGACAACAGCAGAGGTAGCTTTAGTAGTGGGAACCTCAGCAGCAGTGGCACCCTCAGTAGCAGTGGAGCCCTCAGCAGCAGTGGCGCCCTCAGCAGCAGTGGCGCCCTCAGCAGCTGTGGGGGCCTGGTGGTTCGGGTGGCGTTGGCTGCAGCAGAGGCCCAGCCAGCTGGGGGGCTCGTCACGGTGGCCGCGACGTCGACCCCTGCAAGTACCAGATCCTGACTGGCCCTGGTGTTGGCACTACTTGCTGGCATCCTGACCACTATGTACAGCGCTGCTACAGCCGCCTCGACGACCTCTAGCGTGAGCGTTTTGGGCCTGAGTCGAGGCCACCGATCTGGCTTGGTCTGTCTCGTAGTGGTTACCCTATGTTTGATATGTCTATGGATGCTGTTTATTCTGTCACGTATGGATCTCTTGGCTTGCGTGTACCTAGCTTAGGACCTTTGCCTGTTGCTAGTGTAGGTACTTGTGCTTTTAGTGTAGGTGCTTGTGTAGTCACTAGTCCAGCCGTGGCGACTGTTGTCGCGTCGCTCTCCTTCACGCTGGACTCAGGCGCGTCTTAGTGCTTCTTTCGTGACCACACCACTGTTACACCTCTTTCGGCTCCCGTCCCAGTTGCCCTGGCTAATCTTACTTCAGGACCAGCATTCGCTCGCAGCTTGACCACCCTCCCGTGCCAGCCTGTCCCTTCTGGTTTCCTCACTGGTCTCTACATCCCCTCATTCTCTTGGAACTTGGTGGGTGTTGGATACCTTCAGGACCGTGGGATCACAGTAACTTTTCCTACGCACGGGAGGACGGCGATCTGTACGGATGCTTCCACAAGGGCACTTCTTGCCACATTCACCAGGGAGCCCCACTCAGGTCTCTTCGTTCTCCACACTACGGCCCACCAGGTAGCAGAGTCCGGTCAAGTTACCGCGTCCCCCTAGGTAGCAGAGTCCGGTCGGTTTACTGTGTCCCCATAGGTTGTGGTGTCCAGTCAAGTTGTTGTGTCCAGTCTAGCTGCTGCATCCTATTCTTGTCAGTCACTCTCCCACCCGAAAGTCTTGTGGCACCACCGTCTTGGTGACCCGTCCCTCCCACGCCTCCGTAGCATGGCTAGCCATCGTCGTGTCTCAGGTCTCCCACGTGTCTTTGCGTCGCTCCCTCGTACGTCTGCACCGCCCTGCACTCCTTGCATTGAGGGTCGGCTGTGCGCCACTCCTCACTCCTCCTCCCTTCGTCTGGCCACCGCTCCCTTCTAGACCCTCCACTTGGACGTCTGGGGCCCAGCCGCTCGTGCTGGGCTCGAGCGGGAGTGCTTCTTTCTCATGGTCGTTGACGACTACTCCAAATACACCAGATTGCTTCCTCTCGCGAAGAAGTCTGAGATGACTTCTACGCTGATCCGGTGGCTCCAGGCCACTGACGGCACTCGTGGTAGTCGTGTCCATTGTCTCCACTCCGACTATGGGGGTGAGTTCCAGTCTGGCGTACTTGCCAAATTTCGCGCGAACAGGACATCACACCGCCCGGAACGCTTTCGGAGTCCCCACAACAGAATGGGGTTGCTGAGCGCCGCATTGGTTTGGTCTTGGATATCGCCCGCACCTCCATGATCCATGCCCGTGCGCCCCCTGTGGCCCCCCCCCCCTCCTCTTTTTCTCTCCCCCACTCCTCCTCCTCCTCTCGCTCCGGTAAACCCGCCCTCCCTTGGTCCTGCCCCGTCATGTGTGTCTCACGCTACCCCTCTACCCTCAGTCGCACGTCAGGTAGCGTCTCCCTCCCCACAGTCTTCCTCACGGTCCCCTCAGCAGCCTTTGGCACTTCCGCGACAGGTTACTGTGGACTCAAGGGTGTTGGAGCTGGATGTGCTGCCATTGGAGGTACTGGGTCTGGGGGTGCTCTCTTGAGGGGTGCTGGAGTTGGAATTGCTGGCACTGGAGGTGCTAGTTCGGGGAGCTGGAGCTGGGGGTGCTGGCACTGGTGGTGCTAATTGTG